AGTTTGTTCTGAATGCGTTTTCACATGTTTTTATAAATTATAAACGTTTATCAATAAAAACCTAACTGCATTTAAGAAAATTATCAAAACAAAATTCAAAATGTCGCGATTTGATCTAAAACGCGTTTTTCTATCGGTTTTTTACTGAAAAAGTTTCAGAATACGACAAATTTTGCTAAAACAAGACAGAAAATTGCAAAATTATTTCTGAAATACGATATTTTTGTTTACTTCCAAAGACTTAATGCGTTTTCTATTTAAGACACTCGCAAAATTTGAAAGGTTTTGTCAAAACTGAATAAAAAATCGCAAAATTAGATTCGAAAATGTGTTGATCAATCTTTATGAATTCATAGCGTTATTTAACAAGAAACTCAAAAGATTTCGTCAAATTAAAGTAGAACATTAAAAAATGTTATCTGAAAATGCAAATTCAAAACGATTTTTAACAAAAAACTATTTGCATTAAAAAATGCAAAACAAAATATAAATTGACAAAAGTAGATCTAAAATGCCTTATGTTTCAAAAATTTAGAAGTTTTTCACTGAAAAAATCAAACAAGACGACATATTTTGTCGAAACAAGACCGAAAATTGCAAAATTGTTCCCGAAATTCCATATTATTTCTAATTTGGAAAGATTTAGTGCGTTTTTTATTAGGAAACCACGAAATTTGAAAGGTTTTGTCAAAACTAAATAGAAAATTGCAAAATTAGATCCGGAATTGAGTTACTTTGATCCGTTTTTATGAAAGCAGGGTGTTTTTCTACGAGAAACACATAAAATTCAAAAAATTTTAAAATAAAGTAGAAAAGCAAAAATTTCATCTGAATTGTTTTGACCCGTTATTGTAAATTTAAAACGTTTTTTAATAGAAAACAACTAGCTGCATTCAAAAAAAATTGTCAAAACAAAATAAATAATATGAAAAATTTGATCCCAAATGCGTTATTTTCTATGGATTTAGAAGTTTTTTACTGAGGAAATCGCAGGACATACTTTGCCAAAATAAGACAAAAAATGCAAAATTATTCCTGAAATGCGATATTTTGCCTATTTCTAAACATTAAAAAGATTTATTATTAAGATAAACAAAACAAACTAATAATTGCCTTACTTTTTTAGTCTAATTTCATAATTTCATAAATTTTAAGCGATTAGTACTGAATTCGAAAAATTTTTGCCGAACAAGGTAGAAAGTTACGAAATTTTTTCGGTGAAACCCTAATAGTGTCATATATTGAAAAACAAGTTTTAAAAAGGGAGGCAAATGGAGGCAAATTACAAAAACATTATTTATAATTTCATAATTCGACCTGTTTTTTTTTTCTGTTTTTTGAAGTTAAAGTCCTTGATTGTGGAAATTTATCACACGAGAAACAAGACATCTCTAAGATATTGAAAATGTGTTTTAAGAGTTTTGCTTTTCAAGGTTACGCAATTTGTACGATCAAGTCATAAAATAAATAATTTTATTTGTGTTTGAAGTAATTTACAACAAATTCTCGTTTATTGCATTTCTGAAGAACTGATTGGCTTGAAGGTGCATTCTTTGTTAAGTGGGGCAGGCAATAAGTCGATTTACATTTATTTATTTATCATTTGTGCCTTTACGAGCACCTTAATATTTATTTATTCTCGTCTAACACTCTTGCCATGTTTACGTAAAGTGCTAAAACCATCAAGGCGGCACTCTTGTAGATAAATCGACACGTGTTTATCGTTCACTTAAAACAGACCGATTTCTCTGTTTCAGATTCGCCACCCAAATCCCAGTGCCAGAAAACCCGACTCCGATTGTGATTTTAGTGAAATTTTGGAACGAAAATGCCGACTGTTGTTATTATAAACGAATTTTAAGATTGTTTTTAGAGAAATTTTTATTGATATTTTTGTATTTATTTTTATACTCGTTTTAAGACTGTAAATTACGTTAGGTAATATTGTGATTGGAACACCAGTGCCTTAATTGTGATACTTGACTGGCCCTCAACCGAAATAATTTCGATTTGATTTGGAAAAATCAAGTCAAAATTGTTGCACTGACGGCCATTCAAGTCCAGTATTGTAGTTTTTAAGATTGAAAACTTAGTTTAATGATCTCATCCGACTTGTTATTAGCCACTTTTGTAAATAAACCATTTGAAAAAAAATTCTTTAATTTGTATCACCCCCTAGTGGGCAATGCCACCGTTTCAAACGACTCAATTTATTCCAATCCCTCTCAATTCCACCCCTTTTGAGCGTGCCGTACAAATCCATTAAAAATGCGCCGACCCCATGCTACCAAAAAATTCAAAAAGTCATCCAATTTCTTTGAAAAAACCAAATTACCAATTTCGTCGAAAAACGACACGAATTAAAGCGCTAAATTCAGAAATACCCAACTGAGCTCTTATGTACGCAAATTTGCATCAGTCAGGGGGCCAAAATTGGCCCTTTTGGCGGGAACATTTAACCTTGACATTGCACCGACGACGAAATTAAAAATAGCAGAGGGGCAAGGGGGCTTTGGCCAGATGTTCAGCTGTTGGGGTTGCCCGTCCTTCTCTAGCTACCTGGTGATTGAAGCTGGGGGCTGGGGGGCTGAGGGGCTGTGTGCAGACACGCTTCGTGCCACGCGACTGTTGAATTCAGATTTGCACAACAATTGACGGGATTTTCTATTCTTTTCAAGGTACCTATAACTGCCATGGGGCCCTTGTACGCTCTTAGACAAGTTTAATGCACACACTCAAACATCAAATATCGGACAACTATCCTTCAATCTCGTTCTTTCACCACTCTTAATTACTCTCTCGGTTTTTTTATTCAATAAACTGGGGGTTATAGAGGCTAAAATGACATTAAATGTGTCAAAGACTGTACTAAGGGACCCTATAGAAGAATGTGTTGTAATAAATCAGGTCCAAATGCATCCAGGGTATAGTTACGCAACTTCATGATGTTCGTAACCAATTGATTATGGTACTGTCAATAACAATTTTTAGTTCCTTTTTTATAATTAATGTTGGAGTTATTGATACGAAAAGTATTTAAATGGACACCTGTCTTGAAAAACGTTTAAATGTCCAACTAGTCGACCATATCGGAAGCATATAGCGGAAAATAAACGCAACAATGACTTTTCTTAACTTAGTAAACAAAGACAATAAAAAAATATTAATAGAAATGGCCCCAAATGGGAACCCTGTGAGAAATCCCAGTTCAGTATTGACTTAATTTTTAATACTTTAAAAAGTTTATATAGGAATTGATAAATACTAAACTAGTACATTGTTTGAAATTGTTTTCAACTATACAGCGTGTCCTAAAAATAAAATACAACACGAATTTATGTTTTTTATAAATAAAACACAATATATTTCTTGGTATTTCTAGATGAAATTTTCTATTTTTGGTTTTAAGAGATTTTGCTTAGTTTTTGTCGAAAATATACTCTTTTAAAAAACTTATTACACAAAAAAGACAGTTTTTTTACAATTGCAAAGAAAAAAGTACAAACTTTAAGACCATGACAATCTTTTAGTGTGTTGCAGTTGTACTGACAAAAAAATTAAGAAGTTTGTTAAAAGTGAAATAACTTAAAAAAATTTAATGGAACGCACCATTTTTTGTTTCTGCATCTAAGAGATTCTTAAATTATCTTTCCAAAAACAATTACTTTTAAATGTCTACAATTAAAAAGATATTTAACTTTAAACATTAAAAAAATAAATATTAATAGCCAAAAAGAGCATATTTGTAAAAGAAATTATTTCTCAATAATCACATTTATGTTACACTAAATCCACTATTCTTTATGTTTACAATAAAACAATAACAATGCTCATTTTAGTAATAGGAATTGTTGCCACAATTAACATTTAAAGTTGAATATCTTTTAATTTATCATTTCTAGATATAAAAATTCATAATTTTTTCTCAAAATTTTTATTTGCTGTTTGATATTTGCTTGCTGTTTTTTTATGTATATTTTTCTATTTTTTTATGTAAGTAATTTTTCTTATTTTTAATCTTAGTAGAGTAATTTTTTTTTAATTTATTTATCTGCTTACTTCTCTCCTTATTAATTTTGTTACTTTTGTTAATTAACGGGGTTGAGTTCGATTAGCATTTGCTAGACTTTGCCTCCCAAGTTGTGTTTACAATTCAAAAAAAGACGGTTTATTATTATTATCATTATTATTATTAAAAAAAGTTTATTTTTGTAGATAAGTTTCATTTAGATTTTTTAAATTATTTAACTTTTAACATTTTTTTNAACTTTTAACATTTTTTTAAATTTTGGACTGCAAGACATTTTTAAAAAATGTTGTAGTCCTAAAGTTCGTACTTTTCTCTTATACAGTTGTAAAAAAACATTTTCTAACTGTCTCAACTTTTTGTGTAATACATTTAAAAAAATATGTTTTTGTCAAGAATAGTTATTTATTATACAAGACGATAAAGAAATTGTTTATCTACGAGTGAAAAAGTTAACTTTACAAGTGACGAAGTCACGAGTGGACTTTTTTCACGAGTAGATAAACAATCTTTATCGTCGTGTATAATATTTCGTTTTATTTTGTACTCATCTACCAGAATTCCTTCAATATAAACAGTACATAAAAATTACTTTATTTCACTAGACGATAAAAGACTACTTTATCTACTGAAATTAGTTGATAAAAGCACTTTTTACCATTGAGTACAAACTGAATTAATTTATTACATGCAAAAATAAAACATAGGGTGTTCCATTTAAATTAACTTTTAATAATTTTTTTTTTAACTTTTCGACTGCACTAAATTTTTTAAAAATATTATAGAATTAAAGTTCGCACTTTTCTCTTTTACATTGGTAAAAAAACATTTTCTAACTGTCTCAACTTTTTATGTAATGCATTAAAAAAAAATATGTTTTCGTCAAGAAAATTTATTTATTCCCAAAAAACATGCAAAATTGACCAAATGCTAAAAAACATATAGTGTTTCATTTATAAAAACATACATTCGTATTATTTTTGAAACATGCTGTAAAGTTGAATAAAATAATTTCAGGCAATGCACTAGATTAGTATTTATCAATTGCCTATATAAATTTAAAAAAAATAAAGGTCAGCGAAAAAACAATATAAAATTGAAAGTGCAAGCCAAAAATTGTGATAAAAATTTAGATTTTTGAATAAGAGACGCAAAATAAACACAGATTGTGATAAAATGGAGAAAAATGGGCTTTTCGCGTGGCCCCAGAAATGCCACCGGTTTATGACTAAGCTTTTTGTGATAATGGCCACCTGACAATTCCCACACGTGACTTTCCACGGTAGTGCACAAAGCCACGTGCGTTTGATAATAGCAAAGCTTCCGGCCCATTAATTCCTCAAATTCATTTCTTTCAAAAAATTTCAATATTTTCCACCGGTTAATTCCCATAAGTAACGCAAACTAATTCCTATTTCCTGTCTAATTTTCGATCAGAAGTGTGTCGTGGCTCTAATATTAAATAGTGTTTCCGGTGGTTGTGTCAAAACTTGCCGGTGGAGAACCACCCCTTCGAACACGTGTGTGTCGAGGGTAAGTCTCTGAAAAAATTAGCCGGCGCGGAATTTTTGATACCCAACCATCGATTTCTCTTCCCATCGGGATTTGGGACCCACAATGGTCTCAATCCCAGTTTCGCTATTGTGTCCTTGACACCCATCATGCGATTTAGATCGGGTCACGAGGGGCTGTAAGCTCTCAGACCTAACGGTTTTTCTATTGTGGGGGTGAAGTTTCGATACTGTACACCGTTTTGAGTTCGATAAATGGCGGCGGCGCGTTTGGGCCCTAATTAAACAACCATTAACCCTCTTTTTTGTCACGCTTCTACAAACTCAGACACTGAAAAAATTCTTAAGAATTACTCGGACGTGATTTATTTACACTCGGATGAGTCTAAGTGGCTTGGACGAGCGTCCCTTGTTTCAAAACAATTGAGGCACGCATTTAGCAGTTTGAAGAAGTGACACTCGAGGCGCCACTGGACGCACAAGAACTCTGGCGGCCTCTAGGACAAGAGTCACGAAGTTTGAGCTCAGAGACGAACCTATTAGAAAATAATAGAAATCATGTGCGACAACTTTTCATATTTCCAATGGGTTCATAAATTTGATAAATTCATCGTTCATAAAGCAATACAAATAACATGAAAATTTCTTTTCAGACTTTTTCAGGGTGTCAGAACTGAAGTGAGATAAGGAACAGGAACATGAAAAAATGTTTAAAAAATTCTCGGTCAAACATTTTGATTTTAATAATATTGGTGATCTTGTATACAGGGTGTCTCAGTGAGTTGAAAAAGTCCATAAGTGACAGGGCCGTACCCAAGGGGGGGGGGGGCTCACTTTGTTATATAAGTGTTAAAAATTTAGTTTTTTTGTTATTTTAGTGAGTTAATTTTAAATTTTTGTGAATTAATTTTTCATGTGTTAATTATATTAGGTACAAATTTAATACTTGATAGAATATTTAATTTTAAGACAAAAGTGTTTCGAAGAATGCTATGAAAGGGAGCTACACCCCCTAAAAAAAGTACGTTTTTTAAAGGGTTTTTGCTAATATTTCAGAATAGATAAAATTACAAAATTTGGTACCATTATATGTACACCTAAACAAATGCCAAATAACAAAATTTTTAATCAGGTGCGTCCTAAACGGTACAACAAATTTAATTTTTAATTTTTATGCTGTTTATGGTCTGTAACATAAATTTTTAAACCGATTTTTACTAAAAATCAGTAAATTATATCGGAAAAATACAAAAGACCTTTTTTATGAAAAACTATGAAATTTCGTTGCTGAAAGTGGCAAGAAATCACAGGCAAAATAGTTAGAATAAATTTTTACCCTAATCCCATCTAGTTTAGGAAGCCCCTAATTAAAAATTTCAACATTTTCTCTTTGTACTTGTTTAGGTGTATAAAAGTTATCATCTGTACCAAATTTTGATTTTTTTTTCTAAAATGATTTCGGTAATATTGAAAAAAAACCTATTAAAAGACGCACCCCTTGCGTAGTATTTTTCGATGTATGTTCATTAAAAATGAATATTCTATCTCCTATTTAAATTTGTAACAATAAAAAGCATTAAAAATTTATTTTATTTTTTGTTACTTTTGTGAGTTAATTTGTATTTTTTTTGTGTTTAATTAGGATCTCTTATTTTAATTATAAATAAAAACGTGTACTTAGAGATTTTTGATTTTTAATCCGCCTTCTTTCATTTTATTTTCATGGACCAACAAGAATCCTGGTTACGGCCCTGATAAGTGACCTTTAAATGGTAAAATTTAAAAAATGTATAGGACATTGATAGATACTAAATCCCAAAAATAAGTTACGATACAAACTTGTGTTTTTTTAAATGAAACACCGTATATTTTTTACATTTTTGGATGTAGTTTTCTAAAACAATGTTTTTAAGCTAAATTATTATTAGTCGATTTCGCTTAGTTTAAGAAATAATAGGACACTTTTTTTGACGAAAACATGCACTTTTTAAAAATTTATTACACAAAAACTAAGACAGCTAGAACATTTTTCTTCTTACTTCTGCAAAGAAGAAAGTACAGAATTTAAAGCTGTAGCAATTTTTTAGTGTAAGTGATATTTCTTCCATCTCTTGTGCACTTTTTGGATTCTGAAACAATAGTAATTATTTTTTTAACGTTTAACGTTAAGTATCTTTTTAGTTATTGATTATAAACACCTAAAAGTAAATAATTTTAGAAAGACAATTTAATAATCTTTTAAATGCGAAAACAATAAATAGGGTGTTGCATTAAAATTTTTTAAGTTATAGAACTTTTAACAAACGCCTTCAATTTTCTATCTTTGCAAATGCAACACGCTAAAAAAATGTTACAATCTTATAGGTTGTATCTTCTTTTTTGCGGTAGTAAAAAAAATATTTCTAGATGTCTTAGTTTTTGTGTAATAAATTTTTAAAAAGTGCATGTTTTCGTGAAAAAAACCGTCTTATTTTTAAAATTATGCAAAATCGAGCAATCAAAGTTTAGCTTAAAAACATTGTCATAAAAATCTACATCCAAAAATGCTAAGAAACATATGGTGTTTCATTTAAAAAAACACAAGTTTGTATTGTAACTTATTTTTGAGACATGCTGTATAATTGAAAATAATTTTAGACGATAGACTAGATTAGTATCTATTACTAATTATTAATTAAGTAATTATTATTACTATTACTAATTGACTTTTTTAACTCGTTAGGACACCCTGTATGTTTTTTTTTATAATTATTCAGTAAAGATACAAAAATTTTGCCAATAAAAGCCACAAATAACATTAGAGTTACAATTTTGGATACAACTTTTCTAAAAGCCTGTAGCAAAAAAATCTGGAAGATTATTTTTTTAACAGAAATAAATAAAGTTAAAATGGAAAATTTAAATTCTCATAAGTTCGAAATTTTTTAGATAAAATTTTTACAACCTTACATGGCATTTTTCGTTCGTCGTTTTGAAGTATTTAAGATAATAACAAATCTTTTTTCAAAGCATAATTTTGAATTAATTTGAAAAATAAAAAAAACAAAACAATGGAATAACATAAACGATGAAATTAATCCACTTTCTCTAAGGGGAAAATAGAATAATAGAAAATTAAAGACATCTTTGACATTAAGAGTGAATGAGAATGAAACGTTACTTAAAAAAGATTAGAACAAATACGAAATTTCAAATATTATTAAGAGTTATTATTATTATTTTTTTACCTTAAGAAAGAGTACACCGTTTTCAATGGGTGTCCCGCCCCCATAAAAAAATTTCAGTGGGTGCATCAGGGCGGATGTAGTTGGCGGCCGTAACAGAAAAACATTTTCTTAAATCCCAGACTGGAGTATTAGGTTTGCACTTAATTTAATATCAAAAATAAGCAATTAAAAATGACGTGACGGGTAAAAAATCCACAACGATGTAAAATCAGCGTTATTAAAATAATTACAAACTGTAGTCGCTTATTACTGGTTTCCTTTGCGTGAATGCGCGTCAAAAAATTCGGTGCTTTAATGAAAACCGAGTTGTTTTAATTGTTTCGTTTCAATTTTCGTTAAGCGATTAAATTAAAGTCGAGGTCAGCGGCCGGTATAATGTGTTGTTTTATGACACTTAACACTCGTCGAGAATGTCTCATTAATATTTTCAGAATATGAAATGAGGCAGAAATAAAGCAAAATATTTCCAAGTGCCATGTTTAATCAACGATTGAGTTGTTTTGCTACATCCTAGTGGTTTTTATTTAAATAAAGTGCAATTATTCAATGATCTGTAACCTTAGTCAGCATGGTATAAAACGAAAACGACAATCTCAAAACTTGAATAAAAGTTTGGTAATCCAAGACACTAACTCCCATCGCCGAAATTTTGACATCCCTTTGTGCCCTTTGAAGCACAAATACAATATCTTTCTTCACATCTAAGTCGACATTGTACCAATGGCTGTTAAAAACAGCATTTGGGAGTTGAGCGGCCTGAAAAAATTTTTCAGAATTTTTTCCCCCCCAAATTGCAACATTACATAAAAAATGACTTCGTTCCCAAGTGTCGCATAGAGAAATAGCTGAAGCAAATGTCCAAAAATGTACGCAGAGGATATTATAAACAAAGCAGCATCAATTTCCGCCTGAAATCTGAAATCACTTGCGAGAATAATCCAACTTTTGACTTACAAAAGTCATAATTAGGGCACCGACACAAAGAGCTACAACACTTGAGAGTAATTGAACAAAACAGCTGAAACTGAAAATCTCATCAATTTCTTTACAAATTCGAGTCACTTGGACGTGATGAGTGATACAGATTCTGATCAATTGGCGATTTGGCTCAGTTTCAGTATCAAGCCCCATTTTTTTGATAATTTCAGCTGCACTTTTCGTACCCAAATACCCAAAAAACTCCCTCAAAAGGGTAAATTGGCCCACGATGTTGCTACAAAGACCGACAAAAAGAAAATCATGGCCACAAATCCCAACGAGGATGAACGCAATATTAGTCATCCATTCCACAACGTAGATAATTTCATAATAAGGTCTTTTAGACCAATCAAATGGATAAATAGTTTCAAATGGTAGAATTCTTTGACCGGTTATTAGAGGCGAGCTTAGGAATCCAAAAGCGAAACAAAGTCCAGTAATGAGGACTGTTAGAAAGCTTGCAATTACAATTTTGTTGTAGATTTTTAGTTTCATGTTTATTTCAGGACCGGCTGCATCAGCGGGCCAAAATTCGTACCAGACTGACTTCAAAATTAGGCAAAGTTTGTCGTTGTAGATATACAAAACTGTGAGTTTTGTTATTACCTGAAAAACATTTCTGGTTTCAAATTTCGGATTTTTTCACTTACCTGTAACGTGGTTGAAACGGTCGACATGGCTGAAGCAATCTTTGTGATATCATTGATATTAACCACAACAAAGGCAATTTGGCCACTTTCAATCAAAATGCAAATTGTTAGCATGACCCAGTTTGTAATTTTGGTGAGAAAAGTGCGTTTTTCTGGCCAAAAGTTTGTGGATTCGAGAAGGAGTTTTGGGATAAAAAGAGACCGTTTTACGGGATCTCTCAAAGGGAAAATATCGCCTGTTTCAGCCATTGTGGTAAAGATTAAGTCGCAGAAGGGTTTATATATAATAGGACTTTAAAACAATAAGTTCCAGAGCGGTGATTATTTAATTTATTATTAAATCCTTAACTTCTTAGTACAATAAAATATTCACAGTTAAACTAATAATTTCATATTCTACTTGATAAAATAACCCTGAAACCGTCAGCCCTCTTCAGGATAATATCAGCCTGTAACTGAAAATCTTTTTCTTTGACGACCGATTTGATCTTGAAGTTTCGCACGATCGAAGCCAGGAGGATTTTCAGTTTCAGCATTGCGTATTTACGACCGACGCAACTGCGAGGACCTGCACTGAAAGGAATAAAACTGTAATAATGTCTCTGTTGGCAACGTTCAGGTAGGAAATTGTCCGGATCGAACTTGTCCGGATTCGGGAAGTATTTCGGATTCCGGTGAACCAAGAATTGACCAATCCCGACTGTTGTACCCACTGGTAGAATATAATCGGCCGAAGCTGAAACCAAATTTCAGACTCTGAAAAATTAAAATCGGTTTTTTACCAAGCTTGACTTCCTCGTTTATGACTCGTGTGATTATGGGCACCGGTGGGTACAATCTCAAGGTTTCTAAAAGAACACGTTCCAAATACTTCATTTCTAAAGTGTCACTGAAAGTGATCGGTCTGTCACTATCCTGAAAAATTTCCCTCAATTCCTGATAAACTTTCTCCTGAATTTCAGGGTAGACTCCTAAAATACAGATGAAAAAACTCGACGCAGCTGCCGTTGTGTCATGCCCTTCGAACATAATTGTGTTAACTTCTTCGCGAATTTCCTCATCGTTTAGTTTATTTCCCTCAGTGTGGCTCGCCTCGACCATGAAGTCCAAAAACGCCAGTCGCTTTTTCTCGCCGAGATTTTCATCGTTTTCGTCGAGATCGTCCCGGAGGCCGCTTCCAAAATTAAAAGTTTGCTCATTTTTCACTTTCAGATTCTCCTCTTCGGTTTCCTTGACCGCATTGTTGTACAAACTAACACCCCCGTCTTTGACACGTTCGAAATAAGCTTTCTTTTTCTGTTTGATGACACGATCGGTGAGACTGTGGATAATCCTCAGGAGTGAATTCTGCTCCTTAAACAATTTTGTCAAGCTGAAAATCCAATCTGGACGCAGCCATAATTTGACGTGTCGGAAATGGAGAATTGTGCACATGCTAGGGGATTTATTTTTTAAGGAAAAGCTTTGCAGAGAGAAAAATTGACTTACTCCATCACGGCTTTGGCATATTTGTAACTGGTTCGCGCTTCTTTGGTTTTTTTAACACCCATCACGGTTTCTAAAAGGACGTCGACAGTGGCACCACTCATGTAATCATGAACGTCACAAATTTGATCAAGAGCTTCATTTTTCAATTGCTCGACTAAATCCATCGCGTTTTTGTTAAAAACAGGAACAAAAGTTTTTAAAATCGATTGATGGAAAGTCGGTGCGATCATTTTCCGGTGCGAACGCCACTTTTCACCTTTACTAATCAAAAGGCCGTCGCCGAGCCAAGGTTCAAAAAATCGATATTCTGTACTTTTTTCCAAATGGACATTACTACCCAAAATCAACTAGAAAAAACTATTTTCCAAAAGAAAATTTTTTGGGGGGATTTTTTTACTTCAATGTCTCTCGGGTCTAGTAAGGCAACTCCCAACTTACTCCCAAACCAAAATCGCACAACATTTCCCTTTTCCGCGGCTAGTTTCAACGCATATTCCATGATTTGTGTGGGATTTTTATTCATGACCATATGGGCGTTACCAATGATGGGTAAGGGGTCAAATCCCGGAATTTTATTCCCGAGTTTCGTGTATCGTAAAGATTGAAGCCAAAAGTGATAAATTGCCAACATTACGGCCACCACACCCAAAGAAATCACCACAGAATTGCCCCAATTGAGCGAATGGTTTAGAGATTCTTCCACCACAACCATTTTACTAAATTCTCACACTAACTAAAATAAAACTGCTGCGTAAAGGTGGTGAGGCAGTATAAATATGGTTTACGGGTATGCATATTGATGATAAAATTTTACAATGCCCAATGAATATTTAATTGAATTGAACAGACGTCGCAGTCATGCTAACAAGTAATTTTGACTTTGATAAGAAACAAACAAGCCTATTTTTGGTGACACAGTAAGTGAAAAAAATTCCATTTGCGTCTTTATTTGCACACAATAGTTGCGTTAAATTCGAAAATGTAATCTAATTACTACTAATTAATGAAAGTATTAATCAAGTGGATTGATTTCCTGCTGAAGCGTCCTGTAGTGAGTGGAGTTTCGCCATCCAGATGGCGCAATCGCCCATAAATAATCAACCCTCAACACTAATTAACTCTCTTGATAATTCTTTTAATTTTTTTTTACCACTAAATAATCTCATGAAACTTTTATAACTCAGGCGAGTATTCATGAAATTTTATTATCTTGAAAGGTTTTCTCTTTTTCCGCTATAGTTGCCTTACAATATTCGTTTCAAGTTTTTCATATCCCTCGAGGAATTCCAGTTTATGTCGATATTACGCTCCTACATGTATTATCAAAAAATAAAATAAAAAATCCTTCCAGGATTCATTTTGACAATTAAACTGCAACGCAAACAGTTTTATTATTTTTTCCAAAGACCGATTTAGCCAACACGTGCCCGGAATTCTCCGGTCATTCTCTTCTCAACTACAATAGGTAAGAGAGCAGTTAAAACGGAAATTAATTAGATCTTTCAGCGGAATTCTCCAACTGTCTCTGGTTTAATTATATTTTCAGGCTTTTATCTGGACATAAATTATTCATAATTGCCCCAAAACGCCTACTTTCAGGATTTAACTTGGATTCAAACAACAAAAACTTTGATTGAAAAAAACACCACCCTCAAGCAAATTTGTTTTTGGCCAACATTAAAAGCTCGTTAATGTAGCCATAAAAAAATATTTTACTCCGATTTACGAGCCAAAAGTGTCAACTCTTCTGCCATTTTTCTTCCAATTAATTAACTTTAAACCAAAACACCCCTAGGTATTGGAAATCGGGCCCGAATCAATTAAAACACCCCCGGACCACAATTATGTATCGAGCCCGACCTAAAGCCAAAACTTTCAACGATCAATCAAAAATTTATCTCAATTTCAGGAAGTTACTTTCTAATTGATTAATTATTCTTTCAAGGCGCTTCAAAGACAATTATAAGTTTCTTTCTTAATTAAAAATCGCACCTGAACACCTGTTTCAAATCAACAGGTGGCTTTGTCCCCTGAAAAATTAATTTTTCAGTAATTAAGGAAAGTTAATTTTTCTCATTGCAAATGTATGAGTTTTTAGATTAATTAAAATTGAAGAGTCGAAATTATGATAAATCCATAACCTATGGCAATAATCGGTGCAATTGAAGCACGATATGGATCCTAGGTCAGGATAAATCGTCTTGTGAATGAAAGCGCTGGCGTCGCTCGGTCTGCTCCTGAAAGCTGAAACGTTTCAGTATTCGTTACGTTTTCAGACGGTTATCTTGAAACTGTTGCTTGGATTTGATCGCGCGTGCTTTTATGGTCGTTTTAAAAGTTATCCAATAGCTGAAAAAACGGCTTTTCCAACTGAAACGACTCCAAACAACTTCGTGGTGATTGAGGTGAGAGATTTCCAATTTCACACCAAATCAAAAAAAAAAAATGTTATTTAAATTTGTCTCTTCTAATCTCATTTTTTTTGTGAGCAAAGCTGGATATAAATATTTAAAAGAATAAAGTTTGATTTATTTCAGACAATGAATTAACTGAAATCATGAAATTCAAATCATGAGTCAAAAAATCTGAATCGTTATTATTGCGCAACATTTATTTTAGACGGGGGATTTTTCAAGCCAAAATGATTAGTAGTGATTCATGGAATAATTTCAATTTGAATATAGTTAACTACTAATAAGGCCCCTTCAGCACACAACACTTTTAAGCATTTTGACCTTGTTTTCAAAGGTATGTTTAAGAAAAGCAAAACTATATGGGCTTGTTCGGCACACACCATTTTTTTATCAGATCTACCCCGTTTTTCAAGGTACCTTTGTTAAAAGCATCGCCGTAAAAAAGGTAATGTCTTAGCACATGGCTTCTTTCCAAATAATAATGAATGTTTAGGAATCCATTTTGATAAATCAGAAAACTGGTATTTTGGTAAATCAAGCAATACACCTGATGGTCAAACTAATTTTTATAATGTTTTATTACACGAAATAGGACACACATTAGGTATTGAACATTCTGCAAATAATAATTCAATTATGTACGCCTATTATAATGGTGGTATTGATAAATTGACTCAAGACGATATCTGGGCAATTCAATATTTATATGGACGACCTGAACGATTAAAATATGAATTAATACCAACAACAACAACAACAGTTAAACCTACTGTAAGCAAAGTCGGAGTAAAAGATACTGTTGGTAATTCGTCTTCGACTCACGAGCCTATGGTGAATTTATGTGATTTTAATAAAGAAATTGACACATTTTTAATTGCAAATCATCATATGTATATTTTTTATAAGAAGTATGTTTGGTTAGTCAATTTAAAAGATATGACTTGTGATAAAGAACCGAAATTAATTAAAGATTATTTATATTTTTTGCCAGATGATTTTAAAGAAGTTTCGCATATATATCAAAGACCTTCAGGTGATGTTTTAATAGTTGTTGAAAATTTATATTATTTAATTGATTTTCCAAGTTTTAATGTTAAAAGTGGATACAATGGTCAATCTATTGAAAATTTAGGAATACCAAAAGGAAAAAGAATTGATGCGATATTTAGAACTTATTCTGGAAAAACATGTATATTTTATGATAAAGTTTTATATATTGAGTTTGATGAGTGTTTGTTTATATCAAAGAAAAACGGCCTTTTCAGAATTATTTGCTGGAATACCTCCAAATATAAACAGAGCATTCAGATATAGAAATTTATATTTCTTTAAAGATAAAATGTTTTACGAATTTGATGATATTTCGAATACATTAGTTAAATCTGATAAATTTGACTTGACAGTTTTTGGATTTAAATGTGGTCTTATCGACCAAATAATAAAACTAATTAATCGTTTGTGATTCTTATACATAGCTCTAACACTGACTAAAATTCGTATTAAATATGTTCAGTCTCCCTATTGAATAAAAAATGCAGATGTGAATTTCGAAAGTGAAAAATTAGTTCGTCTGAAGATATGCAACACAATATACAAACATTATTGGCGGGTCACATTTTAGGTTACATACATTTTACGTACATTTTACTTTTATATTGTATTGTTTTATTGTATATTGTTATTAATCAATAACATGATAAAATGAATTTTTGTCAACTTGTTAACTTGATATATGTACGTTCTGAACGCACTCCAGCGTCAGTGTCCAGATTGCGATTGCGCATTGCATCACTGTCAAAAAATGGGCAGATGGCTATGGCTAAATGTCATTGGACATTATGGTCATTCATTTCATTTGTTATGGACGAGGACGTTGGAAATGGAATAGCGCAAGAGGGCAATGATCAAAGTAAGTGTCAGTGTAATTTGCTACTGTCATTTACAATTAATTTACAGTTGATAATCTATTGTTGTGCCCAAGAGACTGCCGAAATTACAATGATACGTTGCAAATGTTCCGCAAGCTGAAACCGCCCAATTGCCTTTTTATAGCCACGAAAATATGGCGTCGCGACACGAGAAAAAAAAATTGCTGTTTATGGTGCGTTTTGTACCAAGCCATCAATCCGGGAACACAATATTTAAGAGGCACCCAAGCTAAACAGCTCCGCATGGAATTGAATACAAGAAAACCTGTTGGAGGTGAAATTGTCGATTACGAATTTCATCAAGATGCCGCCAGCGGTGAAACAGGCTGGTTATTTATTTGGAAAAACCTGGCCTGTACCCATAGACCAAATTTTCTTAAAAAAGACAATACTCAAAAAGGGGAGCTTTTCGAAGAGAGCATGGTTAATCACTGCATATATTAATTTATTGTAATTATTTATTGTATTAATTAGTTTGTTCCAAATGTGCTCTATTGATATAATTAAAGATGCTAATTTTGCTATCTTATTATTTACTTTCCATGTGGTCATATACACCTCGTTTAGGTAGCAATAGTCCACTTTGACATTTGACCGAAGTTGCAAAATGTTATTTTAAGTTTCCGTTTTATTCACAGCTTGGTTGTGGTTAGTTTTCACTGGCCCCAGAAGGAGACCAAAAATTCTTACTTTGTCGATCAATTTGTTTTTTTTGTATGATTAATTCCAATAGTAATTTACGAATTTCAGTTATTGCTGTAGGTAAACAAGAATATTGTTGCTTTTAATAGCTCTTTTTACTTTCGCTTCATTTTTTTATTTAATTGAGGTGTGTGATTTTCTACATATTGTAATGATATTCAGAAATTTTCAGCGCTATTCCCTTATTATTTTTCCAGGCGTCTATAGCCATTTTTTCTTGATTTTTTTGTTAATTCTATTTGCTTTTAATTGACTTTTTTTATCTACATGAGTTTGAGCATACCTTCTACCTTAGAAAATTAGGGCAAAATCATTAAAGTATTTACTTTTTAAATTGACCTTTAAAAACAGGGTTGTGAATTCGCTACGCACTAGTCCATTTTGTGGACTCTCATGAGGGATCACATTCCGAATTTGTTTGGACGAAACCGTATTCATTTTTGTGCTCAAGTGGCCCAATAGAAAAACAGGGCAAAAAAGCGAATTTTAACTTTTAACAAAGGTACTTCAATAGATTGACCATTGTATCCACTTTTAACATTAAAACTTGGAAAATCAATTAAATAATATAAATTTTTAACAACTATTAAAACGTCACCTGAAGGTCTTTGATATATATGCGAAACTTCTTTAAAATCATCTGGCAAAAAATATAAATAATCTTTAATTAATTTCGGTTCTTTATCACAAGTCATATCTTTTAAATTGACTAACCAAACATACTTCTTATAAAAAATATACATATGATGATTTGCAATTAAAAATGTGTCAATTTCTTTATTAAAATTACATAAATTCACCATAGGCTYGTGAGTCGAAGACGAATTACCAACAGTATCTTTTACTCCGACTTTGCTTACAGTAGGTTTAACTGTTGTTGTTGTTGTTGGTATTAATTCATATTTTAATCGTTCAGGTCGTCCATATAAATATTGAATTGCCCAGATATCGTCTTGAGTCAATTTATCAATACCACCATTATAATAGGCGTACATAATTGAATTATTATTTGCAGAATGTTCAATACCTAATGTGTGTCCTATTTCGTGTAATAAAACATTATAAAAATTAGTTTGACCATCAGGTGTATTGCTTGATTTACCAAAATACCAGTTTTCTGATTTATCAAAATGGATTCCTAAACATTCATTATTATTTGGAAAGAAGCCATGTGCTAAGACATTACCTTTTTTACGGCGATGCTTTTAACAAAGGTACCTTGAAAAACGGGGTAGATCTGATAAAAAAATGGTGTGTGCCGAACAAGCCCATATAGTTTTGCTTTTCTTAAACATACCTTTGAAAACAAGGTCAAAATGCTTAAAAGTGTTGTGTGCTGAAGGGGCCTTATTAGTAGTTAGTTATTTTGAATGCAAATTAATTTGGTTGGTTTTACTAGAATCGAATCTAATTTGTCTGAAAAAGTCCGAAAGCTCATCTAAACTTAAAACTCGTTTTGTGTCATTCGGGAATTATAAAATAAACTTATTTTCGGTTTTAATTGGTTTAATTAAAGTAGTATTTGTATGACGGAGATGATAAAAAACTTTCCTCGTTAGTTGAGCTAAAATTTCAGTTTTCGCTGCACCATTAGTGTCTCGAATTGGATAAGACAGCTCGAAATGTGCAAACTTTTGAGGAAACAACAACTATAATTTTGTATCAGAAAATCATTTTTCACAAAATTAATTTCCGGTCGAGAATTTTCCATTTCGCATTTGAATAGTGCTTTGAGTCAATCTCACGCCTCGATGTTTCAAAAGTACATCTTTCACGCTTGCATAATGGCATTCGGTGCATAAAAGCTCTCCTTTGTCACCACCAGTGTCGTGTTTTACGATTCCGGGCACCGGAAAACCCCAAATAACACTAAAGTCGGGATTAATTAACCGTGAAAAAAATATGGAAAGTGTCAGTGGCAGATTTTTCATTCGAGAAAAACGTTCCGTCAGATTTTTCACAGTCTCGAGCATCGATCATTAGATCGTCTGGACTTCTTTTCGATAATCGCCCGTCATTTCTGGACGATTTTATCAGTGTGATTGCTCGCTTCCACTTCGCTTACAATTTCGTTTAATTAATTGGCTTCTAATTGTGAATTAGAGACGTAATGAATTTCGTTTTTCCGAGACACAGCAATTAAGTGAAAGCCCACGGTTGGCCGAAAATTTTTTCCCGACGACTATCGATGGTGTATTACTGTTGAATTTCATTTCCAAAGAGAAAGGATTTAATTAAGTTTAATGCCTAAGGCGAGATGGGGCGCTTGAGATGAGGGAGAATTTGTTTCGAGAATCTTTAAATCAATGTCGCTAATGGTGGCACGAAATGTCTACTTTCGTTATTTGCCACGGTAATTATCTTAAACCGTTATTTTGTCTAAAGAATTTACAAGAAAATTTGACGAAATGCAACGAACAAAAAATGTTTCAAGCGAAATAAGCTCATTTTTCAGCCCACGATAACCAAACTCAAACGGAAAAAATTAAATTAAATATCCCGTCAAAGGACGGCTACATAAAATTACAACCCGCAAGCTTTAATTAAGAAAAAATAATTACTCTTTTTTTCCCTGAAATTAACGACTGTGACTTATCACACTTATTTTTGCAACACCCTGAAATTATTGGAAGAGTTGAAAATATGTTCGCATTCACTTTATTTTTCAGTAACTCGATAACCGAAAAATATGTGTTTTGAATCACAATGAGGTTTTCAGTAAACCACTGAAATATGTGTGAACTAGCACAGATTAAAATTTCAGTCTTTTGGTTGCGCCCTGATTTGTCACTTGTCGTCCCTTTCATTCCACTCCACCTCAACTTCTTTAGTAAAAGTTTAAAATTACTTTTCGTCTTTTCAGAATTCAGTACACTCATCTTGCCATTTCAGTACGGATCGATTTTTCAAAAAATGTATTAATTTAAATTTAAAATTAAACCTCAACAAAGCGACCTGTTTTTTCCATTTTCAGTCCTCGGTTTTCTAAAACGTTTATCATTTACACTCCTCGTCTAGCCTTCAGCGACTTGTTTGTAGAGCCGAAAGTAAATTTCCTCGACCAAAAAAAAATGCTTTTTATTCCTGATCCGAGCGATTTGTCGTCTGGAAATAATTATTTTTTCCCCGAAAAAAAACACCTGTTCCAGAATGTAACAATGGACTGGATTGAAAACTCCACCCTCTGGAACATTTCACAAACTTTATCGAACGAAGTGACGACACCGGAAACCGCAACGAAAACCGGAAGTGTCCCACAATGGTACGAAACGGGCAGAGTTACCATCCCGCTATATGCCGTTATCTTTATGTTGGCAGTCATCGGAAACACCCTCGTCATACTCACCTTGGTAAGAAAATTTGCATGAAATTTTTTCAGCTAATTCGATGATTCATTCCCGGACCAAAAAAACGAGACCCAATTGTGCTGCCACGATACCACAAACAATAAATTACCAAATGATCAATATCGGGTGTCAGACCCTCAAAAAATTCTCCTCAAAATATTGATTCGGGTCATGGCAGGGAATTAATTAAAGCTCTCTATGCACAGGTGAAGAACCAAAGGATGAGAACGATAACAAACTTGTTCCTCCTCAACTTGGCCGTCTCGGATCTCCTCCTAGGCGTCCTTTGCATACCTTTCACGCTAATAGGGACGCTATTGAGACACTTCGTATTCGGCGAGGTCATGTGCAAGCTTCTGCCCTTCCTCCAAGGTAAAGTACGGCCGTATTTTACGAGATATGGATGATTTAGCGACTTTGTTATTATTACCGGTAGAAAAGGGAAACAGATAGGTGAGATTTATGCCTTTTTACCTTTTATTTCAATTTCGAGAGGTTTTATTCAAATTTGGCGGAGGCGCCGGGAAAAAATGTTTCTCCCAAGTTAATGGAACTATTAAAACGAGATTATTTTCTTGTTTATGATGTCTCGAGAGATAGAAAAGAAGTTTTTTTAGATTAATGGAAGTGAGTGACATTCCATTCACTTTCAGAGACATAAGCAAGAAAAAAAAACTAGAAAAATCGTAATACTTTCTTTACGAAAGGCAAAATTCTTGCAGACTTGCAATTAAATAAAGCCGATCTTCGCGAGATGCAATTTTCAGGGTGTTAAAAGCCGTTAATTTGGCAGGCGAAAGAGTGAAAGTTTTCGATAAGCCGTAAACCGTTCAATTTATAGTTTTGCACACTTCACCTCCTGAAAAAATTTATCTTGTATGCGGGTCGAGTCGATCAAGGACTTCGTCGCAACGCCCATTAAAAAAAATTAACAAGCCTGAAAAATTTAATTAAAAACGCGACCGGAAGGGTGACAATCGATACATTTAATTTTTTTATTTGAAATTCAAATGGAATTAGACAATACCATATGGCTCATCTGCAGTCGACTCTGCCGGCAATAATCGCAATTTTATTCGAACGAGCAGTCGTCCACATTTACGCCTGCTAAACCGACTAAATCCATAATTTCAGCCAGTTATGGAAGTTTTTTCAGGGTGAAACCTCCTATCTCCTGAAATTATGGATACAGAAACCACAAAACGGATTTAAGACGAGTCTAATTTGGTTGGGAAGTTTGGGGGCTTTTTGCCTGTTTTAGGCCAAGTCTCGGTTTATTTCGGAACAGGTGGCTCGCTTTTTCAGCGAAAGAAACTGAAACATTTCGGCCAATGCCATAAAGGATGGATCAAATAACAGTTAGGCACGAATCGACTGTAATTCACACTCCAGACTGCTCGTTAGAGCCAACAACAATTTTTTTAACCAAAGGGCAAGATTGATTCAGAGACAAACGCAGGGGAAACACCGGAAAATTGCTAAGATACAGTACTTATTATTCTTTTTCAAAAGCAACCAGCAATACACCCTAGGCAGGGTCCAAACTCAGTCTTTACCTGCGTTCAGGGGTTGGGTTAGTAAGGGTAATAAATTGTAATAAAAGTAAAAGATCAGTTGGCTAATATTTTTATGCTTTGAATTTGTGGAAGTTGCTCCAGAAATTTCTTAGAAAGCTAAATATTGTTTTGACTTTTGGATCTTAAAAAAAAATCTAATCATAATTATTCCTATCTACTTGATAGGTTGTACATATTTACTAATTAGAAAGCTCACAGGTTCCATTTTCAATGGAAATTAAATTTTTGTATGGGGTAACAAGACATATAATTCCATAAATTAAAATTTTTACAATCGGAAAAATTACAAACTTATGCAATTGTGGACTCAAAATTTTAGACATCAAGATATGTCAGTTCAAAAAATTTTGGATCTAAAACTTGAAAGATTTAGTTGAAATTTATTTTTGGCGTCGATTTCCTAATACATACAATAAATGCAGCAGTTGCAGTACGTTTTTTATAGTTATTATTTTTTTATTTTGAATTCTTGTCATTTTTATTCAGCTGTCAGCATAAAAACAACAAAAATCAAAAAAAAAAGCTGCACATAAAGTCAGTTTTACATTTTATGTCAACCGAATGACAAATCGTCCAAAATTCCGTGTCCGTACATCTAAATATTAAATTTCCAATGCGCACTATAAAATTCATATTCTTTGGAGGGGCATTTATGATTTTTTAGCTAGGTTTTTTTAGTTTAAAAGTGTCCTTGTTTTCCATTACAATTTTTTGCCATTGACCACATTTAACTAACATTTATAGTTATGTCTTATAAAAAAAAAGATTGTGATAGGCCGAATCATTTTTTATGAAGAATAACGATGAATTAAAAAATAAAAACGGTCTCTTCAATTTTTTTTTTTCATAGTTGCCCCGCTAAAAATTATTTGTTTGAGACTTGGGACTTCTGGCGAGCATTTGTTTAAAAGTAACATTTTTTTTTTGTATATGCTCTCGAAACAAGCTGAGTCTTTGCTGGACCCAATAAAATAATATGAAAATGGTTATATTAGGTACTCAATACCCAAAATATAGTTTTTCAGAACGGATAAGTTAATTTAGTTACTATCGTGGCGAAATTTGTTTAATTAACAATAGGTGTAAATTTGTTGTATAATAAATTATTTTGTCTGATTATTGTTGCTATTTATTAAAACTCTCATAGATGATAAATAATCTTTTCGAAAAAAAAATGGTCAGGTCTACTAAAATTAGCTTGTTTTCTCATTTCACGACAAATGTTTCTGCTTCTAGTTTTCTAATAATAATAACTGAAAATTATTATGCTAATTACATGATAAAAATGACCATAATCCGTTATTTGCTTGGGTTGGTATAGACCCTCGATCCTCCACAGCAGCGCCACTGACAACGCGTCTAGTGGTAAAAGCAATGAACTAGAATGCATTTTTGGGCAAAATATATTTATTAATAATTTAAAAACAACAGTGTTTTATTACATGTGTTTGTTGAATTTGTTAAGAATTAATATTTTGTAATAAATACCAAAACCCTAAAACGAATCTTTAGGTCTACCGTTAAATATCGTGACTTTTACATCAATCACAATATCTCAAAAACTAAACATTTAAAAAAAAAAGGCCAACGCATCGGCCTATAGCATATCCTTTTAAATTATCTTACAAAAACCGAAATTGATTACTTGAAAAATGACTGAGTAAAGTTGTTTTCAAGTTCACCATTTATGCATTTTTGTTCTTTTTTTAAAAGCATTGAATTAAAAAAAAATCTCAACGTATCGGCCTGTAGATTTAAAAACCCGTTATTTTGATGTATAATACATGAAATTCTGTTGCATATTATGTTTTCGATATACTAACGTATCGAATTTTTGGTCGCGGACACCCTTAATATTAATTAATTTTGAATATTGCTATTTTGGGAAATTGGAAATTCGGCACCAGTTTGGATAATAATTCATGTTTTTGCACTAATGAGTCATGTAATATTTTCAATTTATTGCCGGATGCTAATGTGAATTGATTGAAATGGGCGTTTTCGCATCGTCAATCAGAGATTAGCTGAAATCGAGATCAATGATAACATAAAACCAAATCGACATTATTAAAATTGGAAAATTTTAAATGAGGCGTCCATTTTTCCCTTGTCGCTTGTTGTAAATTGAAAATTGCGGCCCTTTTGGTTGTATTCGCCATAAATCCGTGCTGATATTAAAAGCCCATTTTTCAACAATGAAAATAATGGTCCTCATTGTTCGCTTAAATTCCCTCTATTGAAATTCATCGCACGTATCGTGTTGCTTTTCGTTGGAATTAGAGGAAGATCCTCTGTTTAGTTTGGGAATTGTCGTGGCCGAAGCGTCGGAGCGACTAATGACTGGTGATTCGAATTTGACGGTTTGTGAAGATCGTCACTTTTATGGAGTGTGAAACTGGCTGAAATTTATCGTCGACGATGTGCGTGTTGTCTTTAATTAAATCGCCGAATTTATTGCGAAACTCACGTGCTTAATCTTACTTTAGAGTCGTACCATTCGTGATTAATAGCCTATTATATTCCGATTGAGCACTTCTCGAGTTTACACCTAATAGGGATTATATCCCCTAATAAAAAAATCGAAATCGTTGGTTTGGCAATTAGACTAAAAGCGCCTTAACGCCTTCATAATCTAAATAAATCGGCCTGTAAAACAGAAAGATAAACAGATTAGCCGTTTCAACAACGCGAAAAAACGATGCTTTATCAAAAAAATAAATGAACGAAATAAAAACCGAGATTCTAGAGGAATTAGCTCGAGTTTATAAAAGTGCTTTAATAGGCGTAAAGTTTGCAAGAATAAAACAAGAACGCGCAATTTTCCCTGATAAAACATGATACTTTCAAATTAAAACTTTTATTATTTATTGCAAGCCGAATTTTCTCATTTCGACTGAAACACGAAACAGGAATATCCGATTCAACAACAAAACTAGTCAAAAAATTTTCTATTAGCAAATCTCTCTTTCATTTTGTACTCCCTATTCAAACAAAAAAATCAGTAAATAAAAAATTTACATACTCAATTTCAGCTCAGATCAACATCAATTTCAATATGAATACTTTATTTATTCTAAAAAAACATTACATCTTACGTTTTAGAAAATATGTACAAACAAAGTATTCATACAGGGCCTTCAAAAAACAATAATTAAAACAACTAAAGATATTAATAATGTTGTTGTTTATTCCTTAGACACGAGTAAAAATAGTACAACTTTATTCTAGAAATGGTTACTAGGGTACTATTATTTGATTTAGTTTTTTTATCTTATTGATGAAAAAATTAATACACCACAAAACTTTTTGTTCTTCCTCAAAATTCTTTTATATGGGACTTTTGAGTTTTAAAAAACACTTTTAGATAATTGACGACCGTTTTGTTGTTTTTTATTTCAAGGCAAATTTACATTACAATTAATGTCAAATTAAGAAATCAGCAACGAAATTGGAACATTTCAAATTTTTTATTAAAAAAAAAATATGAATGTACAATGAGCGTAGAAAAGATTGTCCTCCTAGTAAACCGCCCGGACCCTTAGAGGCTGAACCCATAAACTACAACAATAAGTCTTTTTCATTGTAAACGTCATTTCATATTTACCAGTATATTCAGTTTGAAGAGAAGCTCAGTTACCGATTTTCCTTTCAATTCAGTAAATAAGAAAATATATTGAAAAATTCACAACTTTATACCGAAACTAAAAATTAAATTAAAAAATAATTTTAATTAATGTTTAATTAGTTATTTATTTACTAAGATAAGTAAATGCCGTTTTAAATGGCATAGTTGAA